AATGGTTGTATTGATGTATAGCAACTTGAAATGCTCCCAAAAATGGCTCCACAGCATGTAAAAATATAATATAAGCTCTGGCGGACTTGGTTCTTGGTCTTAAAGGGTTAACTGCTCTGGATGTAATTCAGTGATACTGGACTGGATAAATACTGTAAGTGTGTAAAAGTGAGCAAATTCATACAGTAGCTGTCTAAGCAAGTTCTCTGCCAGCTTAGCCCTTTTCTTTGTGTGAGACTGACTTTAGTCCTAATAAGAGGGGAGCACTCAGAGGAATAAGACAGTCTGTCAAAAAAGTCCTTGGTTTCTGAATAAGGCTTTCAGTGTCAATGAAGGAAACAATGATGGCCGTCCTCTCTGCTTCTCCACTCATGTTTAATCTGGACAGATGAGCTACTCAGTGAATTCTTTTCTATTGACTTTTGAGCCATTGTATTTTTTGCTGAAATGAGAACAAAGTATCAGGATGGGAAAATCCATAAAGGTTGAGAGTTGGAATGAATGTGAGCTCAAACACTGAATATATAGTAAAAAACTTATCATGACAGCATGCATATTCCAGCGCTCTTTTGCTGTCCGAGGCTTTTATCGGTTATCTTGTACTAATTTTGGCTCTTTCTCAACATTAAACAAAGAGGTAGAGGGCATGTGTTTAAATTAATCATCAAGGCTCTGCATCTGCGGGTACATGTGGATGATCAAAGAGGAAACTTCAGGGCGTAGCTTTCCACCCATCCATGTCGACAGGGCTCACCTCAGGTTGCGCTAAACTGAACTAGGTCAAATATCAAACCAGCAGCCTGATTTATGATGTAAGCTTGTCTGCTTTCTTTAACCCAGCTGAGAGTGGAGTGTGCTGGGAACGTGCATCGAGTGAGCAGTTGGGTGGTGGTGCATGAAACAAAAATCAAAGCGCATGTGTCCCCTTGGATGCTGGAGCAAAAGAGAAGAAAGAAAAACACTCAACTTGCACTCTTGTAATTTAAACACTCACCAGAAACAATGAATGACTGACGTTGTGTCCCAAATCACAGCTGTAGAAGCACTTGTGACACAAGGTTGATTAATTCTTAAAGCGTATTAGGAAACATGTCTGACTCAGCGTCCCGGAGGCAATTAAGAACTGATTAGAGTTCACTTATCAGACATTTCTCAAATGCAAAGCTATACTCTGGAGGTAAAAATACCCATTTGTTGTGTTAAACCTCAATTGGCAGGGTCAAACAATCGTGGCTTTTCTAGATAACATTTAAATCAGTCACAGTGGAAAAGGCAAGACAAGCTAAATCCTAGTACACTGTTAGTAAACTGCAATGTACTCCTGTTAAATTAGCCTTACTGATTTCTCAAGTTCCAACCAACCAGCATGCTTTTACAAGCACAGATGCTGTCACTTAAACTAAATGTATGCTGTATACTGTTTTAAAGTCTGTTTTGATACACAAACTGGCCATTTGGTTCCCAGAACTAGATAGATACTTATATTCATAGGGAACTTAACATCTCAATATACCAGCAAACTATTAGAAACAACATGCCAGGTTAATTCCCTGTCTCTAGGCCCTTAAACGCACCACCTTAAATTGCCCCATGGGCTCTGCCTGGTTGCCTGGCAGAAAATCAAGAACTAAAGTTCATCCAAGACATGAAAATTCAGAGGGATGTTCAACATAACCAGGGGTGCACATAAGCAGTCCGCAGACGTGCACCAGATAAGAAGTTGCAACGAGCGTTTGCGTACATAAGATTTTGTGGAGGAGGACAGACATTTGTTTAAAACTCTTAAAGATGTCGAAGAATCAAGCTCCTTTAAGCAATTACTTTGGTGTTGTTGTGGGATTTCTCTTTAATTTATTGTCTTGATGAAATGCTTTGAAGTTACTTAGTTTAGTATGTCTGGTTCACGCCTCATTCACGCTGGGAAACAGACGGTGAGGACCTGGTGAATGTCTCCCAGGAGACGAAGCTCACACAGGAAGGCTTGGCCCCACAGTGGGGGAGAGTCTTACAGGTGATAGAGGGTTTTCTGTTTAGAGCCAAGGTGTGAACTGCAACTGTAAAAGCCTTTTGTTCTGCGACTGTGTTTAAAAGGGACCTGAACTGTTCATTGTCAGAGACAACTCTCAGTGCCCCCTGACTGACGTCTCTCCTCATGCATGGGAAATAAAGTGTTGGGTTTTAACTGCTCATCGTGTCTGCAGGCTTTGTTAATAAATTTCCACAACAGTGTTCAGAACCGCAAAAGAAGCGTGTATTCTCGGACAAGTGGTTGCAGGAGGTGAGCTGGCTTCAAACAAATGATGCCGTAAAAATTCCACTCTAGCAGACAAAAACAGTGCCTTTTATATGTACGCAAACGCGCTTTGCAACTTCTTATCTGGTGCGCGTCTTTTATTTTGACAGCGCATGTGCACCTGTGGACCACTTATGTGCACCCCCTGAACATAATGATGCTTTCTTTGTGTCAGGTAGCTCAACAAAATCCCCCAAAAGATGAGCTCAACGATGTGGTATCACCCTGCTTGTCAATCAAAACTATTTGCTTTAAGTTTTGTGTGCTCACATAAAAAAGATGTTCTGGCGTCATTCCATTCCAACACACAGCAAAATGATCAGAAGCATATGACACATTATCTCAGCTGAGAATCTATTTCACTCTTAGAGCATAATGTCATGAAAAGCTGGAGCTTTCAGCAGGTTTTAAACTGAGAATATTAACATAACCCCCAGAGCAGGTTAGGTGTGCATATTAAGTTGCAATGATGATCCATATGCTTTCTTACTTAACCCTTTAAGACCTACCATAGAACCAAGTCC